AATCTATTGGAGGTGACCCCCTTTTTCCATCTCTGAATTGTAGCACTGGATTACATGTGGAAATAACTATGCCCCAGCAGCCCTATTACACATTAGCCGAACTAATCTGGAGAAGTAAGAAATTGATAAAGAGAGTTATTAGAGGAAACAGTTACTTAAGGTTATTGCTGCTAAAGGGGGTTCCACAGATTACTGAGTCATGGGGTGCCCTTACACTCTCACACAAGGCTTCTGCATATTGGCTGACTTTTTATTTAATAAATAATGACAAAGTACATTTTGTGTGTGTTATTTGCTATACGGGGTTAGATTTTCCTACTATTAGGACTTGACGAGGACTGATTGATGCTAGTATATATTACTTTAACCTGACATGATCTCAGCTACAGTTTCACATTCACTCACTTACACTTTGATGGTGGATTTGGCCAGGGCTCACTAAACAGACCAGGCTGGTGGTTGGGGTGTGTCCAGGAGGGTTCCAACAGAAAATTGTGTACCCTAGATTTCCAATCAGAATGCTCAACCAAGCTGTCTACCTGGTCACCCTACTGTATATGCAAAACATTTTCCCTTCATAATAAGTAATAAAAATCAGATTTATGATACAGTAATTACAATACTGTACATTATTTCTGCACAAGATTTTTCATTGGATTTTGCAAAGCGTTTTCATTGATGCTAGCTTTTGCTACCTTGCTTTGCACCAGGGTGAGCCTGGTATAGGTCTTCCAGGGCCGAAAGGATCAGCAGGACCTCAAGGTGTCCCTGGATATCCGGGAGAGAAGGGAAACCCAGGGTTTCCAGGGATTCCAGGACTGGAAGGGCAGCCAGGTCCTCCTGGACCTCAGGGAGTGAAAGGTAGAATCTTCTGGTTTCTTAATGCGGAAACATGCTGTAAACTTGAGCAAACAACCTTTATGAGTGTGTGTAATGCATCTTTTGTGAGTATAAGAATCTAAGACAAAAGCTAGCATGTATATCTTTGAAGCAGCTGAATCTGAATGTTTGATTGTGTTGGTGTTCTTATGTATTAAGTTTGGATGCCTTTTAAATTAGTTTTTAGTGTTGGATGTTTTGCATGTTTATCACTGTTGACCTTTTTACAGTTAATGAGATATTTTATTTATCTTATGCTCTCTTCCGTGAAATAAAAAAGGATCAATTCATGAGAACCTAATAACACGAGAAAGGTTACAAATCACAGAAGACTCTTTGGCCCATCTAGAGGTTGTATGATTTGTCCATGTTGATTCCAGGTGACTCCGGGTTTCCAGGCATACGGGGATTTCCGGGGCCCCCTGGTCCCCCAGGTTTCGGTGAGCCTGGTGTACCTGGGCCTGTGGGCCCCAAAGGATTACCTGGTCCAATCGGTAAGTCAATTCTGCTTCTCTGCTTCATCCTGCAGTATGCAGGGCAGTGTGAGGCCTGACTGAAGAGAATGCCTCTGTATCTTTAGTTCACTAGTGCTTTAGTGGGCACCTTTAGTGCACCTCTTCCATGTGTCAGCCTACCCAGAATTTGCACAAGTGAAAATGTTATAATTATTCCTGATGAGCGTGCTACTGATACATTAAAGATCCCTAGTGACAGTGATAATCCTGATGTCTAGAGGAACTATTTAATCCTTTTAATAACCAATAACCTAAACAAATCTTTGGGAATGCTTTTAGTGTTCTGATTTTGTATTGTTGCCCAATAGAACAGGGGCAGTTTCAATAACTGTTTTTATATATAAATAACTACTATATTAACAATAACTTATATACTGTATTAATAACTCCTGGCCACATGAAAGGCTTATAATGATGTAACATTTTTTGTTGGATTCTTAGATGCATTGTACCCCCAGAAACTTAACATTTGTTGTGTAATACTGTGCACTTGACAGCATTATATGTCGTCTGCCAGATGTTGGACCAGTCTTGCATTCACATTTATTTATTTTGTAATGACCATTGCAGTTTATACAGTTTTTGCCTGTTTTAAGATCATCTGTGAATGTGACTAGGTCATTGATATAAATCAGAAAAATGGTGGTCCTAGTACAGATTACTGTGATATTCTGCTGATTATCAACCTGATTTGAAAATTTACCCTTTGCCTGCACTATGTTCTACTGTTCAGTTCCTAATCTAAATGCATTTTCTGGAGTACATAAATCTTGTAATTTAAGAATTAATCTTTTATGAAGCCTTCTGAAAGTCTTATTACATGCTGTGTTTACAACTGTTACAACTGTTTCTTGTTCAAAAAACTCTAATTAGTTACACAAGACCTTTTCTACATGCTAACTATTCCATAAAGTCCTGTTGTCATTCAGCTATCCCTCTAGTTCTGTTTATTTTTTGCATAAGCTTAAATGTAAATAAAGTAAGCCACATTGCAGTTCATTAAACTCATTTTCTTTAAATGGAATTGGATGTTTTTATTCTACAGTATGTATTTTTAATGGATTTATAAAACCTCTTGGGCTTTCTAGTCCATGATTGTTTGCTCTTGGGATAAAGCTGGTCTGTGCTTTCAGCCAATCATTCTTAACTTTTCAACTCATTTTCTCTTGATTCCATATGTATACACTCCCATCTTATTCCTTTAAAACTCTATTTCCTTCATAGCCTGCATTCCTGAAATTGCTAACCTTTGTTAATACAGTAGTTCCAGTAGGCAGTCAGTGTTCCAGTATCATGATAAGTGTTCCAGGGTAGTGATAAAACTCTACAAAGTTAAGGAAACATTTGAATGACACTTTTGTTGACAAGCATATCCAAACCATTTTTTGATATTATGAATGTAACCTGCAGGACGTCCGGGCTTGAAGGGTGAGAAAGGCTACCCTGGTGTTCCAGGACTGGACATGCCTGGGCCCCAGGGAGAACAAGGCTCTCCAGGTTTCCCTGGGCTGCCAGGATCTGTGGGATTACCTGGGACACCTGGACCTGCAGGGAGAGAAGGACTTCCTGGACCACAAGGTGAGTTTAAAGCCACAGCTGTGTTGACGGAAAAACAAAGACCTTATTACCTTAATTGCATCCTTTGTCTCTCAACAGTTTTATTGTTTTAAAATGTATATATTCAGTATATATATTAGAATATTGTATTTTAATATTACCTGTGTCATGCAACAACTATCCATTTTCAGATCCACCTTTCACATGTGCAAAATTCATTCATCACTTACATTTACCTATTTTTTTCCTTGGACATTTCCAGCAAGAGTTGAAAGTCTCTTCAGAAACAGAACAGATACACAAGCAATGAAAACCCCAAACATGAAGCTTTAGAGAGGCCCACCGCAAATTAGGTTTTCACAGAACACTTAGCAAGACATGCAGTGTACAGATACTTTTGTCAGAGGCTTGGATATAGTGTGGTTTAAGCAAACCCCGAAAATACTCATACAACTCATAAAGCAGTTTTTAAAAGTTGTTAGATAAATGTATAGAAAGCAAGTCAAACCAGTTAATTTTAATACCAGTTATAGTCCATAATACAGTTACAATTTGTGTGATACTGAAGCAGCAACTTTGTACTCATCTCTCCAATGTACTAATGCTGTATTAATGGCTTCCCATTCAAAATGACACATTTATAGATCAGTGTGAAATGAACATGTGTGCTTAGTGGAGGAGCTAAACTATATGACATGTATAGATGAATGTCTGCACAATATGGTACAAAGTGCTTGCAACAGAAAAAAAGGTGTAGAAATGGTATGGACAATTTCCAACAGGCCAATGAGTGTTGGAAATTAACAACAGTCTAAACAAGGGTCTTATTTCATAGAGCACTATTGCTGCCAGAATTGGCACACACATGCAGTATGCTAGGTTAATTATGTATCAATAGATGCCTACATAGCCATGGATGGTGTATCTCACGGTATTGTAAATTCCATAATCCAGAACAGACAAAGTGTGTCATGGATGGGTGCCAAAATTGCTCAGTGAAAAACACAGACTTATTAGCAATTATGTGAGTCTACTCAACTGATATGAAACCAAGGAAGATGGATTATTGCCACAATCCAAACAAGGTACCAGGGTACTCACCACTTGTGTCATTCTGAGATACGACAGAACACTTGGACAAACGTCACCAAGTTCCAAGTAGAAGGGCAGAACCTTTTTCTTACACAGACACATTTAATTTCAGCCAAACTATTGTGTAACCATTGATGAATTCACTAGACTTGTTGACTTCCTTGCTTGCAGTCTATTTTCAAGAATTCTTTAAGGTGGCTTTCTGACATAGTTCAGGTGGGTAGCTGCGTCAGCATGCGTAGTCTGCAAAGGAACAATAGGTTCATTCTATGCTGAAATGTTGTGTTTCTTTCTCTTCGGCTTTCTGAAATGCATTGTTCCACAAAAGGAGTTCACTCTTTGTGATAATCTGCAGGCCCCAAGGGAGAAATGGGAGTGATGGGAATCCCTGGATTACCTGGATCTGGAGGTTCTAAGGGTAGTCCAGGTAACCCAGGACTGAGAGGTAAGAACCTTCTAGATTTACAGGTTCCATCAGAAAGTACGAATAAGTGTCTTCCTTGTAGTCTGTACAACTGTAGTTCAAAGACAAGCTTATGTGAAAGGAAGATAAAGCAATGCCATTAGGTTTATTGCCAGAAAAATAATCTGAAGTAGAGAAGTGGCGTTGGGGCGATTATGTTTTAAAACATTAAGTTATTCACCTTTCTATATAACACCACTTAGTTCTACAGAATGTTTACAAATAGTGAAGTAGGAAATGAAGAAGCCATTGAGCCTTTGCTGTCATATTCATACTGCATATTTCTTGAAAAAGGTTTATATGCACTCAAAGTTAAATATAACAGAGATGAAAGAGTTCTGTAAGGAATAGTTGGCCAGAAGTCTTCCCAGGCAATGTGAGAGACTGATTAACTCATTTTTTTCAATAAATAATGACAATGTAGAATTGTTGTTGATTTTGTCCACTATTATAAAATGGTGTGGATTAATTGAAGGTGATTCAGATATGTCTGAATACTGTATGTTAAAGCAGTAGCAGCCAACCATTCAGAAAGGGAGTGGCAAGAGTTAGTCCATGCATTTTGTGCCATTGATAATTTTTAAATATAGTCAATAGCCCTATTTACATTATGATTAATAAAAAATGTAATGCTAAAATATAATATCTAAAATTAATAAATTATTATGCATGTCTCACCATTTATCCTGATCCTTGGTCTTGATATCCCTTGCTGGGTTCTCCAGTCTTAGGCTCGTAGCTTGACACTTTAAGCGGCATGCAAACCTCTGAGCGTTCAGTTGTTAACCAGATACTAGTGGGACAAAGAACTGACTTCCTTGTGAAAATACCAGTTCACAAAGGTATTGTATGTTGATCCATATGCTGAGAACAGTGAAAATGCCCCAGACACATTTCACTGGCAGGGACTTCCAACAGGTAATGATAGATATGCTGTGATCACTTTCAGTAGCCTGAAGTGTGTCTTATGTACCATAAATTGCTAACCCCTGTGTTAAACTATAAATCTTAATCTCACCTCTTCACCACTCTGTATGGTATTTCACTGGACTTTTTGTGCTTTTCTACCAGGTGATCCAGGGCTAAGTGGGCCCAGGGGAATTGATGGTGACCCAGGCTACAAAGGAGATAAAGGGGAGCCAGGTATACAGGGACCCGCAGGAAACATGACTGATGTGGAAATGGAACATCTAAAGGGTGAAAAGGGAGACCAGGGAGACCAAGGTAATAATAACAACAGGCTAACCCACTTAGTGATGGTAGTGCAGCAACTGGAGGATTCAAGATTAACTCAAGGAAACATGAGAAAAATGGTGTTACAAATTCTTGTAGCACTTCACCTGCATAAAATAACCAAAAGACTTGAAGATTTCTATGCTGCAAGATATAATGAAGATATACAAACAATTATGGCAATCCAGAGAAACTTTTGCAATAGAAATTGAGACCTTTCTCAGTAGCTGCTTTCAAATAGTAGCAGTTTATCATTGAACATGCACCAAGACAATCCAATGGCAGTATTAGCACCACAGGATATCAGAATCAGAGATACTTTAAGTCAGGAACCTTTTAGGTAGATAGGTAGGTCCCTTTGCAGGCCATAAATACCCATGGGAAATGGGGGACATCACTTGCCCCTACCTGGGATTGAACCTGGGACCTTCTGGTCAGGAGCTAGACACCCTTGCCATCTGAGCTACTACAGCTCCTCATGAACTTTTTACCTGGGTAAATTTCTAAGAGCCTGACAGCAATCATTTTTTTATGGTAATAAAGTATTTTTTATCCAAAAGTAAAACAAGCATCACCAGTTACATCACTCTAAATCGCTGTAGACCTTTCTTTTACTACTATATGTCAAGATTTTTTTATCAACACAAATGATCTAATTAGCAAGGTAAAACATTAAAATAATAAATAATGAAGTAAAGTAAGAACACAAAAACAAATAAGACTAAGGCATTTGATCAAACTTGCTTGCTTATTGTCTTTTTTTATTTCAAGACTTTTTATATTGTTTACTGAATATTACAAAACATAACCCTCCGGTATAATGATGAATTAGGGTTAGAATTTAACCTTTTGCAGACAATTGCAGGCAACTAATCTGAGTAATCCGAGTGTCGGCTCAAGGATACAACTTCTTTGCTGCACCAGCGATTTTAACATTAAAGTTAGAAGTCCAGAGCTCTAACTTTTACTTGACAGTGCTGCCTCAATTCTGAGGCTTTTACTCATGAGATATTCACCAGCCTTTTAGAAGTCTTTGTTGTGCTGGATGTAATACAGCATATTAAAAATTGAAAGTTAAGGAAAACCAGTGAAACAGCTCTATTGATGATCTCTCCTGTCTCACAGGTCTCACTGGAAGCACAGGGCTGAAGGGGCACCAGGGGGAACCAGGCTCTCCAGGAATGCCTGGGAAAGATGGGGAGCCAGGCCTACCTGGCCATCCAGGTAAATATGAATAGTAGGACTTTATCATTGAACATGTACCATTGCAATCCAATGGAAGTATTAGCACTATAGGATATCAAGAGTAGAGATATTATAATTCAGGATCATGTGACTTACACATAGTGGCTAATTTAAAACAAGCAGTAACAAGCCATGTGACGTCTTGAGTAATTTAATTCCCCCATCAAGTGAGGATGTTTAATGAAGCACATAAAATGAGCTTTCTCAAGGTGGTGCATCATTATATGAACATAATAAAGTTTGTAAATGAAAGGAAGACATTTCTCCAGGAAGTTCTCAGGCACAGCATCCCAGGGCTTGTGTACTGTATGTCCATGAAAAACCATTGACAAACGCAATTGCATTAAAAGTCAGTTTATCTAAAAAAAACAATATGTTATATGAGGTAAACACTAGCCGCCATTTACTGGATGCCACTAAATTTGGACTTGTACTGTATATCTTGCCAATTCCCTTGACAACCTAAGATTGCATTTTTGTTTAACTCAATAAACCTTTACGTGGATCTTCTCAGCAAAATGGTCTCCAAATATTTGTGATACATCACTTGAGACGTTGTTCCTATTTAATAATAAAGAGCATGTGTTAGAAAAATATTTTATTGTGTCATCTTCAGAATATCCCCTTCAACTTTGTAAGAAGTTTTAAGAAATTCAGTGGTAATGCTTGCTTTGAAAACTCTTCAGAATTTGATTGCTCTTTAATGTCTGATCTAGGTCTCAAGGGTGACACAGGTGTCCCAGGTGAACCAGGGTCTGTTGGTACACCAGGACCTAAGGGCAGCATGGGAGAAATGGGCCTACCGGGTAGGTGACATGGAGTGGGATCTGAATGTCATTCAGTGTTGTGTTTCACATAGCTGCCCAAAAGACAGCTATACATTTTCATTATAGAAACAGCAGAAACCTGCATAAAAGGTTCAAGCAGAAAGAAATAAGCATTGTTTTGGCTTATTTTATTTTATTTGTCTTTTATCTCTACTTGCACCTTTGCAGCACAATAGTTTATACCTTTCCCACTCTTGAGTACTCTAAAACTCCAGTATTATGATATTGTTATATAACGTCAATATATATTTTTATAAGAAAGCCATATTTCCGATAACATTTTACAGTACACTGAGATCCTGAAAGAATTGTTTGTAAATCAAGTACAACAAACAGGGTGTAGTTTAAATTACTTTCATAATATACAGTGGCCTGTTCAGTCACATAAAATGCTTAATTTGTATTTAGATATATTCACTTTAAAATACCTTTTAAGTCTGAATAAATTCCTGACTACCTTTGTAGATTCCAATTCAAAAGTATCCAAATAAATGTCTTTTTCCCCACATGTGTCATACAAGTTTAATCTGAATGAACACTCGATTGTACCATCAAGCGGAGAGCTTGTTGCCATGGTCATGGTCATATTCATGGTCAGGAAATTCTTGCATTTGGTATTGTTCTCAAGAGTTGGGGAACATCATGTTGTTACTCAAAATCCGCTTCCGGCTGAAAATACTCTGCAAGACGTGGACCTTTTCTATCCTGAGCACAGAGATATGAGTTCTGGTTGACAGCTATATCAAATAGTAATTCGACTCATTTTTCAGATAAAGAGATCTGCTCTGAAATTGAACATGCATTCCAGTGTGCTAAAAAAAAAATCTTTCACCACTGTTCAGTCTGGATTCTACCCAAATTACAATTTCCTAACCTAACGCTTTCTGCTATTCAATTGTAATTTTGTAAATCAGTTATGCTCTATTTGATTGAATCTTCCTGCTGTGTGTTGTCTTCCAGGTCCATTTGGACCAAAGGGTAGTAAAGGGCTAGCTGGAACACCTGGGTACAAGGGTTTTCAAGGAGTATCTGGGGAGAAGGGGGAGAAGGGGAGTGCGGGACCACCAGGCATCGGATTGCCAGGCTCGAAGGGAGAAAAGGTGGGCTTCCCTTACTTTTTGACCTGGACAAAGCTTACAACTGTGTGCTCTAGACATCAGCCTCTCTTACAGGTTGCATGTTTCTAACAGCAGAATAAAATGACTCGTTCTTTGTGCGGTTAGGGTGAGCAAGGTGTGGTTGGCTTGGAGGGAATCAAAGGGGAAAAAGGACTGAAGGGCTCAGTAGGAGTTCCTGGAATGCACGGAAAACCTGGGGAGAAAGGAGACTCTGGAGGTCAGGGGTATCCAGGTAAGTCATTCATTTTCATTGTTTTCTACTGTGGTCACTTCAGAGGTCCTTTTTCACATCAACAAAGTCAAAGTGCTGTAGAATAGCACACATATAACACACAAAATGATCAAAAAGTAAGCGTGTAAAATGCATAGCAGACTTCATGTACTGTATACCATGAAAATTGTAAAGCAGAAGCCAAAAGTAAAGCTAAATTGCATATTAATATTTTTAATGAACTTTTAGATCTTTAAGAAAGGTTGGAAAAAGAAAACTGCCGCTGACTCTCTGATGGATTTGCAAATGAGCTCTAACAATGGACTGATACGTATGAGAGGGCTCTATTACCCACTATGTGGAGTGTGGCTTTCAGTAGAGTAAGAAGGCCTGTACAGTATCTGTAGATCTCAGATCAATAGCTGAACTATACTCATGTAGTATGTAGTACCTCCTTAAATAATCTGGAGACTGACTATTTGGTGTCTTATATGTGAAACGCAGAGTCTGGCTGTCCACTCTAAATTTCACCTGTAGCAAGTTTCATCTATAGAGAATTGGAGTTATTTGCTAATGCGAAGTGGTTACCCTTACAAGCTGAAGAATTGTAGAAACAAAATAACCTATTTAGTAACTTAAAACCTTGTAAGATTTTCCAGTAGTCTTACCCTGTTGTAATAAAGATAATTCAGCATCTAATGATATTTTACTATCATTGAGAAAGATCAAGGTTCTTAATTGAGCAATGTTATGAAGGTAAAAGAAAGACACCCTTGCATTGTTTTTAACATGTGCTTCAAATTATAACACAACGTCAAAAGTAGCACCATTGTTTTACAACTTCCATCAAATTGAGAGTTCAGCACCATCAACACAATAATGTCACTTTGAGGTCACTTTGGAAAGCTGATGTTGAGGACCAACCTTACTGTAGTTAACAAGTAGACACAGGTTTTTTCTGGCAAGCTCGAAAGAAGGAAATACTTCCATAAATTTTAAAACAACTCAGCCCTTTTTCCTGAAATTGACTTCTGTTCTCTTCAGTGCTTAGAAAGGCCTTTTAGTTTTCAGATCTAAAAAAGGGAAGCAGAAATTTACTCCTGCTTCGATCTGTGGGAAGTGCAGTGTCTTTTTTCTATAGCTTGGAAGATGAGAAAGAGAGAATCATGGCATGCTCTATTTGGGTTATAGTATACTGTCATCTTCCTGGACTAGCTGTTACTTTGGGCATGATTCACTTAGCCTAAGTTTCACTCCAAGTAATGAATTTTAGTATACTTTATTAGGGGAGGATTAGCAGTTTGGTCCTAGACCATGATAAAGCTACCCCTTGGGCCATCCCATGTTTTAGTTCTACCTTAGTGGCAATTCTGTTGGTGGGTAGTTGTAAAGGGCATACTAAACACCACCCTTATTTTGACCTGTGCCATTTTTGCCGTCTTTGTGTAAAGGCAAAATGGTATAAAACGCTAAATGGTGATGCCAAGAGTCATAATTCTTAATGCAACCCCAGCACACACCAATTAGTAGTAACCAGAGGTCCAATAAGCCAGCTTTGTGGCCCAACATGCCCAGAATGTTCGAGATGCCATGTTGGAAATGCCAACACCACAGAAAGTAATGGATGGCCATGGTTATGTTAGGTAATTTATACATTTGAAATATAAACACTGAGTATCTGCCAGGCTAAGAATATGTGTGATTTTATATGGTACATTCTAAAAAGTATTTGGTAATCATGGTTTTCACAGATTTTAGCACAAAAATAAATCATATTGTACATATACTTATAACAGAAACAAGTTAAGAAAACCCAGAAAAAGTGTTAATGATCATGTTAAGATCAATCTGTCAAAGGTTAGACTGTCTCTGTACTGACTAGGCTCTGATCCTGCAGGTAGTCCCGGTCCCCCAGGAGAGAAGGGCGTAGTGGGGTTACCTGGGATTCCCGGAGACCCTGGACTACAGGGAAGGCCAGGTATGTAAAGGCAGATAGCAGCTTCCTATTGCTTCATCCCTTCTCGTTTCCTTGATTAAAATGGATACAGTAATCCTCCTTAGCTTCACTAAAATTCAGCAGAAACAAATGACCGGTGTTCTGGCAATTTCAGTGTTGGCAGAAATGTACAGTATACATTTTCAGTTTCTTTCCAGAAAATGTATACCCATTTTTTCCGTAAAATAAAGAAATAATGTGTATTGCTCGGGACAATCAAATGTTTTTGGCTTCAGAAGTGAGAAATCAATACTTGTCTAAATGTTATGTGAAGGTGAACCAGGACTTCAAGGACCTCCTGGTGCCCAAGGAGAGAGGGGTGAGGCTGGTAATGATGGTATACCAGGAACACCTGGAGAGAGGGGTGACCCAGGTGAGCACAGTATACACACTGTGGACTCGACATCCACATGTGTACAATATATAAAAGTGAAATAACAAAACACCCGTAAATACCACCTTGAAGAAATAAATAAAAAAGCTTAAAAAACTATAGTTTATTGAACAAAACACGAACTGAACAAACTGATATTCACACTGTATGATGAATAACTGTTGTGAAGTTAAGAGCCCAGCATGTTACATGTTACATTCCACACTAGATCACTGACATTAACAAACCCTTTCACACTCAGCAGAGGACATGAATCTCTGTCTGGGAAAAGTAGTTTCCAGAAAAAAACCCTAATATTACACAGACGAACATGCACTTTCAACTGTCAAAGTCAAACTTTGGTCCTCATACAGATATGTTTTCAAATACATGAGAATGGAATTTTGCAGACAGATTAAAAAATAAATTAATAATACTTAATCTATATGAAAAATGCATCTCCTTTGCCCTTAAATATGAGTACCTTGAGTGTGCAAATGCAGTACCTTTTAGCTTTCTCTACATAAATGAAGATGGGTTAAAGACCAAAGCATTGTCTCTGTCAGAAACAGGCCAATGTAGAACATGTCTATGTGCTACACTACAAGCTTCATTCCTTGTCATATTTTTATAGGCATTCCAGGAATAGGCACCCCAGGGGCACCAGGTACTGCTGGAAGTAAAGGTAAGATTCCTGAAATCACTGTTTCTTAATCCTAGAATATTAAAGTACACTAATAGTTTAATCTTTAATCTTGAAGCATTAAAACTTGAATTAATTAATTGGTTATTTCAATTGTCAGTGGTTTTCTTTTGGGTTTGTAGTTATCTTTGAGATCGATTTTGCTCTTTCATGAATGCCTAATGACTATGAATATAAACCATCCTCACCCTGGGACTGTTGTTTTCACTGTTTTGATGTTTTGCCATTTTTCTGGGATTTTCAGGGGATGAAGGAATCCCTGGAGAACCTGGTATTCCTGGCACTCCTGGCATTCCTGGCATCAAAGGGGACAGGGGGCTGCCTGGTTTCCAGGGACTGCAGGGTCAGCCAGGAGAACGGGGTCTTCCCGGTCCAGCCATGCATGGGCCGAAGGGAGAGAGAGGACAACCGGGCGATCCTGGACACACAGGTAGACACAATGCAGCATTAATCATTCTCCGTAAAACGCACCTGAGAAGGTGTTTGAAATATAAGGTACGCTAGATTTATGCAAATAACAGCCACAATATTTCCATTTCCAAAGATAGATGACCCAGATGAGCACGTTGTACTCACTGTATATCAGACATTTAAGAGTTACCATTTCGGGTATCTTAATTTGATTGCACTTTTATGTACTGTTTTGAAGGCTTTAATTTTAATTGAATGAAAATCTTGTGGTGGATAGTAGTGCTGCCAAACAGCTCTTTGTTCCAGGGTCTCGATTTCAGGCTGGGGTACCTTCTGTGTGGAGTTTTTACATTCTCTAGTATCCATGTGTGTTTTGTTTTCTGAGTGCTCCTGTCTTCAGTTCTGTGGCAGTGAGAAATTTAATCCTTCTCCTCTGGGTTCCCGAGAAGCTGTTTGAAATATAAGATACACTAGATTTAGCTACAGCTACAATATTTCCATTCCAAGAGACTAGTTAGCCATCTTTGGGAAGCTTCACTCCTTGCTAGGATGTATTTTCTGTGCTGTTTAGGTTCACCCGGAGCCCCAGGACCTCCTGGAATCCCAGGAAATGTTGGGGCCAAAGGAGAGAAAGGATATCCAGGCTTTAGTGGACCACCTGGACTACAGGGGGAAAAGGGAGACAAAGGAGAATCTGGAATTCCTGTAAGCCAAACATGGCCTATACGTTTATTATGGAACTAAACTGAAGACCTGTCCTGCCTGCATGTGAACTGCATGGAGGATTTTAAATAAAAAGAGTCTGAAATAGTGGATGTTGTGTGAGAAACCAGGGAGAAATAAATGGACCGGTACAATTTTGATTGTATTCATTTCTGTTTGGGTTTAAATGCAGGGAAACACTGGTCTTCCTGGATTAAATGGGCAAAAGGGAGAAAAGGGCATCCAAGGAGTTCCTGGATTTCAAGGTCAGTATTTCTCTACATTTACCAGAGGTTCTAGAATGCTTGAGTATTTCTCAAAGTCTTAATCACCTCTGTTAAACAGGTAAAACAACAAGATTTTGCGATATTGTTGTAATTTCCAGAGTGTATTAAGTAGACATCAACATGTATTGTGCTTTATCATTAGGAATGAAGGGTGAAACGGGAATATTTGGATTCAAAGGAGAAGCAGGCGACAGAGGTCTCCCAGGCATCAAGGGTAAGTGAAAATATGAACTACAGGGCAACATTACTGAGGCATCACTGCCATGGTATTCAAATACAGTAACTATGGCGACAGTAAGCCAAAGGGAGTAGCAGCCTCTTTCCTTGTTTAACCTTCAGGTTAATATACCTTAACTTGCCAAATACTTCATGTGTACTGTAGGACAGAGACCGTAAGAAACATCTATAAGGATTTTTAAACCTCGATATAAAGCTCCACTGTAAACACAAAATTACAGGCTATCTAACCCCCATTTTATTACTATAAAGTTTCTCTAACGACTCAAATACACAGAAAACACAAATATGGTTTTCTGTTCCAGTGCACATAATTTGTGTGTCTGCACATCTGTGTGTTGTTACTAATGTACTAATTAATGTACTAAATAATACTTCTGAATGACACCACATTTGTTCTGCAGGTGCTGATGGTCCCCCAGGACCTCCAGGTCCCTTCATCTCTATTAAAGGAGACATTGGTTTTCCTGGCCCCCAGGGGCCAGTAGGGCCCCAGGGACTGCAGGGCTACCCAGGACCTAAAGGACAGCAAGGTGACATTGACTTTTCTGTTTGTCAGTCATGTTGAATTTATAACTGTATATGAATGCACATACTTTACTTTTTTGTTTCCATTTCCTGTAGTAAATACTGTATATTTCATAATATCCAACCAGACCTCTTCAGCACTTTGCACCTACTTTATACATATTGAAATTGGATAATTATACTTAACATTAATATGTCTTTAACTGGGGAGCTGCGCCAGTGTGAGTTGGGTGCAAAGGAGAAAGTAAAGGTTAATTCCAAAGTAAGTTAAGTAAAAAGAAGAAACACAATGTTCTTCTCACACCTGAAGAAGGGTCAGCAGCCGAAATGCAGTGTTTATTCTCTCTACCTTTCAGAGCGGATTTAATCTTTGTCTATTCAATAATATGTCCTGTCATTTAATAATTAGCACATGAGAAAATGAGTGCTAATTACCCTACTATATCAGACAAATATATGTTTACCTGCACCTGTTAAGAAACAGACTATATGAAACATTTTTTTTCCATTACAAATAAAAAGATAACTGGCTGCATCACAGGTATAAAAATTCACAAATTGTTGATAGATTATATTTAAGTTTATGTTTGAAATAATTATATATGTTTAAGGACGTTTGCTTTTAATAAGCAGATGAAAGTGAGATAAATATGTTGAAATTCATTGCTTTCAGTGATTGCAGTCAAAAAACAAAAATATCAATATCAAGTATAACTGTTACTATTAATTATCAGTATTAAATGTTTTTACATATAAATCATAACTAAAAATTAAAGTAATTTAAATTTATGAGGATGGGGAGCAAAATCCCAAATTAAGTTAATCTATAATACGCTAACATACTCTATTAGCTCAGTTGGATTTGATGTAGAAAATAAACGTTAATTACTATTTTTATTAATGATGTTGCATTTCAGTAAATACATGAAATGATATTTTGCAGTGATTTTATTTTTAAAAAATGAAGCTTCTAGCAAAGTAAAATGAATAGATTTTGAAATTCTAATTTGATGCATAGCATGTGAATACAATGCTATCGGTTTTCTCAACAGGTGTGACTGGCCCACAAGGAGTGTCAGGGGAGGAGGGCATACCTGGGTATGATGGCAGGCCTGGACAGAAAGGAGAGCCTGGACCTATTGGCCCTGCAGGTTAGAATCATTAGCAGATTGTCACAGGAGCAGGTCCTGACTCCCATGTAGTGCATAGTTCAGGACCCCGTGAAGACGGTAAAATCTGGAAGTGACTGGAAAAGGGCTATGGGGAAAATATGGATAGGAATGGAAGGGATGGCTAACAGGGGGAGGTGTAGACAGTGATCCAGGTGCACGGGGGAGGCAAGTCCAAAACAGGAAACTAAGGCACAGTCCAGGGTCCAAGTGCCGGGAGATCCATCCAAGACAAGACAGGGTTAAAATCCGGAATGGGATCCAGAACAGGAATAGGAGGTTAAAAACAAAATGACGAGCCCAGGCGCTCCGAGCCCCGGACTCAGCTAGGTCAGGGCGCCGATCGGAAGCCTAAGCCTTCAAGCCGCGGATGAAGGGAAACTTGATGCTAGGCGGGTCCGTCTTCCAATGCAGAGCCCTGCGCTTCCAGACCACCAGGTTTAAATTAAGGATGGTGGTTCCAGGGACACGTGTACGTGACAATGAAACAAAACACAAAAGGGTCGGAGCGCCCTCTAGAGGAGGGATGACGATTGTGACAGTACTCTGCTCCTGAAGCTCTCCCGTTCAGAACCTAATCTACTGATCAATAATCTTTAAGTAAAAACTGTACATCATAAGTAAGTGTTATATGGTGGATTAACCCTTCATTATAATTTATTTGCAACTTGATTCATAAATATAAAAACAAAAAAGCTTTCCTGTATTTAACACTACTTTGCAATAAGAGATATTAATCACACCCCAGAATTAGATGTATTTGAGGATGTTTATAAAGTATTTGGGTATAGCAAAATTTGGCTTAACATGCCTGGCCGAGGGACATCCCACTGGCTATAGGACGAGGAGATGGGGACGCCCATGCAGAGTGAGGAGTTAATCAAGGGGTAGCTGCAAAGGCACAAAAGTGATGCAGGAGGCAAAATGTAAAAAGAGGGAATTGCATGTTATATAAAGATTATGGAAATAATGACAGGAATGATTATAATTTAGAACAGCTAGAGTTAAAGGTCTGGTTGTCGTCATCCACAGCCAGACTTTAGTTATGAACTTCATTTTATTTTTTATTTAATTGGAAAATGTTATGGAGTGGCACAGTGATGCAGTGGTTTGTTGGGGGCCCTGGGTTCATCAAGGTCAATTTTCCTAGAAGCCATTTGTTTTACCAGTGTGTCTGTGGACTATCCATGCAAATAGTGGCCCAGGTCCAGAATTGAACCCAGGGCTGTGAAGCAGCAATGCTAAGCACTGTTCCATCGTAGATACTGTACTCCCATCCTTCATTGTATCTGCTTTTGCTATATTACAGATTGAGATAGTAGAATTGTCTCCCCTTTAACATATCAGAGCCCTTATTCGATTACAGTCTTGCTCAGGATGCCTTGGAGTGTTCGTCACCATATTAGAAAGCTGGAAATTTGGTGGCTTAATTTGTTGAAAGCTACTGGCTGAGTCATTTTGTAGTTGGAATGAAAGTGTCAAAACAAGTGTCTGCAGAAGACTGTCTTGAAAACTATTGCTGTAGTTGATGTGAAGCAAAATTCTATCTGGTGGTTTTGCTCATGATTTGACAGCTGAAATTTTATTCCACTAAATTCAATGACATACCATACAATAGGTATAGTTGTTATTAGTGGTGCAGTGTTTTTCTTGCTCTGATTTTTGTATTACAACATATCCCTCATTCTCATCCAAAAAGTAATATAGTGTATTTAAATCTCTTTTTGGTTATTGTATTATATTTCTTGGCTCCCTAATTTGTATTTCTGCTGTTGTTGCAGTTGGTTTGCTACTGTATGTTTGTTCCTGTCACTTACTAAATGACACAACGGGGGTCTGTTTATTGTGTGCAGTCTTTGTTAGCTTTTTTATTCTGTAGATCTCAAATGGAATGGCTCTCATTCTAATGGAGCCATTGCACTTGCAGTATAATAAGGGAGTAAGGTGATTATTTAAATACACAGGTGACACATTCATATTATTTTTTTAATATTCTTGTAATATTCACGGCATTATTTTTAGACAGATTTTTTCTACTGTTTTTAGCAATGGTTAAAAGCTTAATCATACTTCCCCTTAGGTATCTTCTTACTTATTATTGATAGATGTTATAATTCTTTTGTTACTCTACTGCCTATCATTATCAATGACTATTGTCATTTTTTAATTCTGTCCAAGGCTAAAACTGTTATTTATAAGAAACGTTGCGATCTGCAAAGTTTATCATATGATGATGTGTGCACTATAAATGTCCATTCATGTTTTCAAACCTCGCTTTCAATCTCCTTTGTCAGGCCCAAGGGGATATCCCGGACCTCCAGGCCCAGATGGCCTGCCTGGACTAGTGGGCCCTCCAGGGCAGTCGTCCAAAGCTCATGGCTTTCTCATCACAAGACACAGTCAGACAGTGGACGTGCCATCGTGTCCAAAGGGGACAATGCTAATCTACGATGGCTATTCTTTGTTATATGTGCAAGGCAATGAAAGGTCACATGGGCAAGACTTAGGTAAGTCTCAGTAGCATGATGTAATAGGGGTTCTGGTGTATGAACAGTAGACTATGATGGTGCAGCTCGCATAGGATGCTAAAAGTGTTTGGATCTGTCAGTTCAGGGAACTAATTCTTCTGTGATAAAGGTCTGGCGTTCAGTTTGGCTGTACACTTACAGTAGGTATACTTGAGAAAGGTTCGACTTCTTGTGATGGAATAGGAGATATGCAGGTTCAGTTTTACTCAGTGAAATGTGTACATGTTGATGACCACGGTTCAGTATTAAGAATTATTGTGGTAAATTTAGTGAATTAAAACACTTTCAGTATTAGTCAAATTTCTTGTTGCATTTTTTGTGTTTATTTACTGGGTATGTTAAACCATGTCTGGAGTGATATAATAGAGGAATATCCTGTGCTGTTATTGATCCTTTCTTGAATATACACTACTATACAGTATGAATAAATTGTCAAACACTTAAAAAAGTAAGATTTTATACTCAAATTTTATATTCCATAAAATATTAAGGAAATGATCTCCATGCTATTAAGATGATGCTTTCTGCTTTTTCTTGTTTTCTAGATATGTTAGAAATATAAGACCTCTGTTAAAAAATAGATGTTACAAGAGGGTTGTTAAGTGTAATTATGTCTATGAATTACCTAATGTTTATTCTTCACTGCTCACTTCAGGTACTGCCGGGAGCTGTCTCAGAAAGTTCAGTCCCATGCCGTTTTTGTTCTGTAACATCAATAACGTTTGCAACTTTGCCTCAAGAAATGATTATTCCTACTGGCTCACCTCACCTGAACCAATGCCAATGAGCATGGCTCCTATTACTGGTGAAAGTATTAAGCCCTTCATCAGCAGGTAAGGACTTTAAAGTATCAACACTGGTTATAATTGCAATTTCACAATTAATCGCACTTCTCTGTGCACTTCTCTGTTTCCTAAAGTCATTATGAAGTTCTAAAAGTGTTTATAAAGCAATACTGCATGAATCCATCGTACTGCATAATTTCTTCTTACTCTTTGATAACTGGATCTTGCTTCCTCACAGGCACATAAAAGAAAAAAAGTTTTTGCTGAAGTTTTGGGAACAACTTTAGTGATTGTGGTATACTGTAAATGGAAAAAGTAACTGTAAAATCATTTAAAATTTGTCAATATTATTCTGTGAAGCAACCGGTATATAAAAGCAGATACAAAAGTATGTCTTTACCATAGTTTCCATACTTACTGTATGTATGTAACAGGTCTCTTATTCTCTCAGACTTCCACAACAGGTTTTCCATTTTGCTGTACTTCATGTGTTATTTTCCATAAAGTTTTAATCTCAGTTTTACAACTCTGGCAACTACTTGACATAATGCTCCTTCTTGTTCTCCATTACTCAATATCCACAATAGTGCTGCAGTTTCAGCGTATATTTACAGTGATATTTTGCAGCATTTTGTTAATCAAATGAAAAGCAAAAGTTCTAATGTCACAAGCCTTTGATTTTGGATTACATGAAGTGATGCAGGAAATGAACTGTAGAGGAAAGTTTTCATACTCGTAAATACTACATATACACTACCCAAAAATTAAGATTCTACAAAACTAATAAAATGGTTCTCTTCAAAAGTTTTAAAGCTTCCAAATACCTCATGGAATATATTGTGCATTTTGCATTACAAATTACAGATACAGAACATTAAAACATTCATTTTACCACTTAAAATATTGTTATTTCTGCAGTGAGAAACTATTCATAGGGAATTCACTGTAAAAGGGTTTAATCCATTGGAAAATACAGTAGCTCTCATTTATTTAAATAATGGGCGTGATAAAGACAGACGAATATTGGGTTTAGCCTAGACCTTATATTTCATAGAAAAATAGGTCAAATCAAAAAGGGTCATATTTGTAAATTTGAAATTACAACCACCAAATTAACAAAAGCTGGGGAGGAATAACAGGAACCAAATTCAATCTTCGTCTCTGATGGACTGCCCGGCTCTGGACATTTGCCAAGTCTTGGATTTCCCTTTGGACTCCCTTTTTGACACTTTGCCTTGGATTCACCCCCCAGAACACCTGCGCACCATTGACACTCCCTCTGTTTTCATTCCCAAATCCTGCATGCTTTTTTCCCTGTGTTTTCCTCACTCATCCCCGGATTGTGTCGTCTGCATAGGGTCTGGAAAGAATGCCTCTCGTTACACATATGCTGTGATTATATAGTATTTGTACTTATTCCATTCATTATTCCAGTAAACGGGCGATACAGATATGAAGACTGAATGTAGAATTCTTATATTATAGTAAATACCATAGTGTCTGGTGTTGATCCTGAGTAAGATGTTCTTTTAATATTAACACCCTTTTCAGTTAGGTTATACTAAATTTGTTCTATAAGAACTAGAGTTGTTCTCATCTCAGCAAAACAAATGTAAATTTCCCATCTTTTTCGTATCACTGTGGATCTATTTTTAAATGACAGAGTGACAACACCTGAATCAACATCTCTGCGCTCCTCTCGTACAGGTGTGCTGTTTGTGAGGCTCCAGCCATGGTCATTGCAGTCCACAGCCAGACAATTCAGATCCCACCCTGCCCCGGTGGATGGGAATCCCTGTGGATTGGCTACTCCTTTGTGATGGTCAGTTAGACCATAGTGCAAAAACTGCATATCTTCTGTAGAGACTGGAAATATAGGCTTTGTTCCTGAAAATTATATTCAAGACATGACAAATTCCAGAACTAGTAGCAAAATAAAAATGATATTGCTCACACCTGAAGAAGGCTCCACGGCCGAAACGTTGTGTTCTCTTTCTTCTTTTTTCAGCATGGAATAAACCTATTACTTGTTCCTTTGCAGCCTACGCATGCTGACGCAGCTACCCACCTGAAATAAAAATGATGTCGTGTAACATATTCAACATACATTAATACAATTTTAATCTTGATCACTTCTGTAAGTAAAATAAGCATGTACAGTAGATATTTAATGAAAACAAATAGAGAGTGGGTTTAGAATTCTAATACTATACAGTACACTGTAGTTTCAGGTGTTGATTTTGGATAAAAAAGGTCTTTTAATAGTTACAGCTTTATAAATTAGTTTGCACTGAATTTGTTCCATAAGAGTTCTGAACATATCCGAAGAATAAATTCAATCTCATGCCAACCGTCAGAATGAGTACTTTTGGTTCCCCTTGCGAACTCTTGTACCCTGGTTTTAATTTCTGCTTGTTTCAATACCAGCACACCAGTGCGGGTTCGGAGGGCTCTGGCCAGGCTTTGGCATCCCCTGGCTCCTGCCTGGAGGAGTTCCGCAGTGCCCCCTTCATTGAGTGCCATGGCAGAGGGACCTGCAACTACTATGCCAACTCTTACAGCTTTTGGCTGGCAACGATAGACAATGGGGATATGTTTAAGTAAGTTGTTTTTGTTCTCTTTACACTTCTAACACTTGCTTTTGACAATTGAGCATACTTACAATGGCAATGGTGATCTGCCCTCAGGTCTTTGAGGGTTAATTCTCACATTTGAACATTTCTGACCTTTTAAGGATCTTTGTGCAAAAGTCAAGATTACAACAGTGATGAAGGCACCTTTAAAGGCATTTTTTGACACTTGTCAAGTGAGATGTATACATACTTACATAATATTACGTTAGATCAACTGCATTTAAATCAGCATTTGAGTTTGTTTTACTGAATTTGCTGTTGTTGCTGACATTTTGTATTACAAAAAGAGACTATAGAAATTATAAGTGTTTTACCTTTCCGATATAAAGTTGAAGGTCTCAAGAATGTAAATTAACTTAACATTCGAGGCAAATATTAGTACATTTGAATTTTTTAAGTAAAGTAAATGTACAGATGCCTTGAAAACCATATTTACACTCAGTACATCACCTGTGCATGTACAGTAACTAGTTATATACATTCTGGTCAGTTTGCACAGCACCCATAAGTTATGTTAAAGTTGCAACTGGACTAATGCCCTAAAGCCATTGGCACCTTTAATCTCTGTGGAGTTTCTTCATACTTAGAAAGATGCCTCTTTTCCTCTCATAACTGTTATTGCCTTTTGTTTTATTGGAGACTGTGTAGTGTGGTCTATTTCTCTTTCAAACGTTTTTAGGTCAGAAAAGGCTGAGCAGTGTAATTTTCTCTTTGACAGAAGAAGCTGTTAATGCTCTGTTTTATCTCAGTAGATCACTCAATTATTTGTCCTTTCTAATTTTGAGATTGATAAAATGAATACTGTTTTCAATGTTGGCATAAAATTAACTTATTTTTCAAACCTTTTCTCATTTTGAATATAGATAAGTAAAAAGCCTTCAATTTTATTCATTTAAACTTCTTTAAATCTGCTTAATGACTGAACAATAGCAAACTATTGTTACAGAACTGCACTTATCTACTACATGTATATACAGTATGCACAATGCAAATATAATATTTTTGTAGAGCTCTCCTGGCTACTGTATTTTATTACCAGTTCTCTTGATAATACATTATTATGGAGTCACAGTACATCTCTGAGGGAGTTTGATCTTACTGGAAGTTAAGCTGTCTGTTTAGCTACTGTAAGTGCATTACTTGAACGAGGGACATAAGTTGCCAAAAAGAAGAGAGAAACATTTGTCCAGTAGGAGGCATATTTTTACTCTGCTGACACTTCTGCTAAGCAAGAATAATACTTCTTTAGTTTCTTGAAGCTTATTACATACATTCTCCTATTTAAATTTTAGGAAGCCTGTACCTGCCACACTGAAAGCAGGAGAATTACGAACCCACATCGGCCGATGTCACGTCTGCTTGAAGAAGACATAATACATATTCTGTCTTTCTGTCACAAACGATGGTGCTATTTTGTAAGAAAACGTGAGTTCTAAATCCAACAAGACACTTCTCCTGTCTGTTTCGAGTCCATGAATTGTGCATTGTTGTGGGAGGACAAGCCATGAAGCCCATTCTGCCACACTGGCAGTTCACTCATTAAGAAAGAACATTGCTTTACCTAATGGCACTTTGTTTATTGCTGCACTGACTATATATATAAGCAAGTGACCATTTAAAAGGAATATGTGTGAGTCAGGTGCTACCCAATACTCAAAGCATTCTTTGCTTTATTGTATATTTACCTTTTGACATATGTAATTAAATTCTTTTATGATTGCAGATACCACCTAACTCCAGCCTATAGATATAAATAATTTTATTTGAAAGATGTACTAATGTTATATATGGGGTTGTCAGTGGTGAGAGATGTTTGTAACTGAAAAATCACAGTTTAATACCATTTAAGCTAAAATTTTTATACAGGTTTTTGAAATCTTCTTTCAAAGTGTAACTAAATAGAATAAGGAGTTGACAGGCATCAGTGTAATTTTGGCTTTATAATGATCATAAAAATGCAGAAGTTAAAAAAGCTACATGATACACCAGGGTACTTACAATGTAATTTAAAAAGTATGTATTGAAGATAGATCAACATTAGCACACACTTTACTATAAAAAACTGTATTCTGAAACAGCCTGGGTATTGCTATATGACATTTAAACTATTGGTTAACATGGAATATCTGTCAATAGAATGCATAATGTGCTTTTATTACTCATATCTCTGATACTCTAACAGAGATATGAATCAGCTTTTTAAATTTCAGTGTTCTATTGAGTTTTTTTGTAAACAATATTTGACTACTTGCCATTCACTCCATAACCTGTTAATTAGTAAATTAACTATGAAAGTTAATTTGAACAGTTCTTATTAAATCCTTGTTGGATATTTGCTTCTCATTGGATAAAGTATGAAGTTCACTCATTCAAAATTATTATGCAGAATATGTTATCTTAAAAAGTAATGTGCTGCTTCAGTAAGAAACAAAATCAATCCAAAAACATGGAGTGATTTATAGCCTGACCAGATTATTCAGTTACAATAAATGTCAACTTGTGCACCCCCATTTTATTTTGTGTTTCTTATTTAATTTTCAGGGTTTTAATTGCTAAATGAACCACAGACACAAACTTCTACACTGAATTACTTGAGTATTTACCTTCTAATTCGTATATTATACTACTGTGCTATTTTGCTTTGTTGATATTAAGAGGTCAAGATTAGATACAACATCGATAGTATATTGATAAATTAGCAGTTGTTAGCCAAAAACAAAAGGTGTATATTTAAATAAAGAGCCTTACAGGAAAAGTAATGAAGTTGTGTTGCTACTTTTTTTTGCTTTAAACCAGTCTTATGACTATTTTAAATGAGATCCTTGAAATGTCCTGAGCTAAATGCTTTAAGATAACGTTTGTAACACATACTTTAAGGCTTTCGTGTGGCAACACTTGCATACTTTATTAGTTATCCTGCAAGTGCAAAATGATTGTATGTTGCTCTTTTGTGATTCTATTTTTTTATGAACCTCAACAACATTTTGTGTTTGTTTACATGATTTCTGAATTAGTTATTAATAAAGGAACACACAATAATCTGTCCAGTTTCCATCAATATAAGAAGATACATTAACTGTTCAGAACTATTTAAGAAGCTATGGGGCATGGGACACTATTGAGCACAACTCATAACATTTCCTCTGAATATTTGTTTGAACAGCAAGCCCAAATTGCAAACATTTTTTTTCTCCTTTTCAGCCACCTAATACTCTAGCAAAAGACAAATGGTATACCAAAAGAACATTTATTTTAATTCTCGGGTTATTTTTCTCACCTGAAACATACATGTAACACATACAATAAAAATATTTGTATAAAACCTTACCATTATGTTTGTACATTTTTCACTGTTGTAGTAAGAGCAATAATTCTTTAAGCCACCAGAGGTCATACTATGTATAAACTATCTTTCTACTTAAAAATCTTTCAGGTTCATATCTCACTGTGAGTAATTTATAAAATTCGCTTTTTCACATTTTTCGTAATTACAAATTTAAACAATTTAACTTTGTGTCACAAACTTTGGCCTATGGTGAACCTGTTATGAAGCCATGTACTTATTTATATAAAAAGAATCTAAATGATTGTTCTACTGTCATAAGTAAGTGGACATACTGTATATTATGATTACCATTATTATATCTAATACTGTATGTTAGATGCAATTGATTACCAGTATTATACGATTATCAGTATTATATATAATACTGTATATTAGATGCAATTCCCTGTATTGCATCTAATATGATTTGGGATGTTTAACCCCTATGTAGCACATACTGTATAAGCCTTTTTATAGCCCATCATTGTAAAGAAGTAAACCAATTTACAATGTATGCAAAGAATGGGTTCTTCAATACTATGTATGCTCATATTTGTCTATAGAATCAGAATAAACAGGTGTCAATTTTGTTTATTAGCTATACATTCCAGGGATGTTTTCCGCTTGGTGGATTGAGACCACAACATTTTTTGGATGGGAAAGCTGGGTTATTCATAATTAACTTTTTGTCACTGAAAATGTAAAGGATGTTGTGGTTTGATCATGCCCTTTTCCCATTTAGAATTAGGTGTGCAGGAACCTAGTACCGACAAAAAAAAATGACCATCTGTTTGGCAATGAGATACTGGACGATCCAAGTTCGCCGTATGGTGCTGTGTTGTGTAAACATGTGATGGACCACGATTGCATGCCGTCGAGAGCGGAACTTCACCCATGATACTGGCATGGTAGTCACAATGTGTCAGACCACCCCTTTCTCCTTATTTTAAGACAGTACAGTGAAAGTGATCTGTAAATCTGATGACTGTGAATAGCTTTTGCTGGCATGGATAGTGGTGACAACCTAAGCTTATCATTGGGAAAAGTTTAATGTTTTATACCATTTTCTCATTACTGTTTTTCATATATATATAGGGGATGTTCTGTCAGTGAAATTCATAAGATCCGCTCTTAATGTTAGTACAGTACAAGTCAACTTAAGAAAGATAAAGATGTTATCAGGTGAAAGGTGTTTTGTCAGCTTTTTCACTTCAATTTTGTGAGCCCGTATCTTTAAACTACAAGATGACTGTTGGTGGTCATGACACTATACAAGACCTTTAAGCTCCTTATAAGCTCAGAAACTCAGCATAGAAAAACAGAATGATAAATATTTATGAGGAGCTGAACAGAGAAACAAAGAGTGAAAGGCTATGAAAGTCTTGATTAACATGTGCAGTTCTGGTTCTTACTCTTTAATTTACTTTTCCATTTACTTTCTCCCTGTTCATAACAGTAGTATGTGTACTTACATTATAGGCTAAAATTGTTGCCAGTGTTTGTGTAATTGTTTGTTTCCATTACTTTGGATGATAGAATCTGCCACTGCAGTCCATTAATCTATTATTGATTTAGCAATTAGCTACTTTTGCCATTTTTCCATATAATTAATCAGTTTTGCGATATGGTCTATAATTGTAATTCAAGAATACCAATTTTGATTGACATTAGCACAAATGAGAGGAGGCCATTTGGTCCAACCCCTTTGGTAGATAATAGCTAATTGATCCAAAGGTCATGTTCATAACCAGCCATTTCTTGAAACAATCCTACATGTAGGTATTAGCTTCCACAACATGGCTAGTTAGCTTGCTCAGTACTTCCCCAAACCCTTTGTGTCAATAAATACCACCTGTTTTAAATTCACTTCCAATAAACATTTCCAATGTTTCTGATTGTGTCATTTTTCTGCCTTTAATAACGGCTCTCAGGTGTTAAACATTTCTACAGCACATGATTGTGTTTTGTATTTTTAAAGTGTCTTGTTGTCTGTTTTATTTTGAAGTTTCCAGTTCAGTGCAGTGTTCCCCAAGAAGAATGCTTGAATTAGTTCCTCTTATTCACCTCCAGATGTGGCTCAAAGAGTGTTGATAGTCTTTCTGACACTGGTGCATGCTTGTGGAAGTCCTATCTATCTTATCCATTCTTACATTTGCATGAAATGAAAAACAAATTAGTGGCTCTTTGAATTTTCCCTTTCTGTTTTGCAAAGGTTTGTGGCAAGAAGCTATCCATATATTATTAGAACTGATACCTTGGTTTCTTTAACAAATGACTACTTGAGATCCTCAGATCAATACACTTCTTGGCAATCAAAGACACCAGATGGACTGCATTGCTTCTTCTTCTATGCAACATGTTCTAAAGTCCTAATTGATATTTTGGTTTTTTGAAGAAATCTTCCATTTTTCTGTTTTGCAAAGTTTCAAAATTTGTTAAAAAATACACCAGTTTAATACTTTCTGAGGACATACTAGTGTTACTGAAGTGCACCTCTGCTTCTGGATTCAGGGTGTACAACTGATTTATTGGGAATTGTTGTTAAGTACGTACTTTTTCTAAGACGCACTATCATTACCTACAGTATAGATGACATAAGCAAAATGTGAGGATAGCAATCATTTCCTATATGACAGAGGATAATTACAAACCTTACTCACCTTGTTTTTTAAATCACGTGAAGATGACCACTGTGCTCATTACAAGCACCAGTTGTGCCAGGTGTGTTTTCCGTCTTTTATGCGCACTTTTGGAAAATTACCTACCTGTCTTTACCATGAGTTCCTGACGTAGAATAAAATGTGGTGGAGTGGATGGCTTTTGGCTTGCTTTGCCTTTCTGTTGTGTTAATTCTGATTCCACAAGCCTTTACAGCACAGTTCACTTTACCTGACATGGCCAGTTATTTGCATACTGTCTTTGATTGGTTGCTTGACACCTGTGACAACTTTCCATCACCTTTAGCATACTGGTGCAGTGTGACTGTCACGTTATCTGTAAACATGAGGTAAAAAAAATCCATTGAACAGTTTTAAAGAGGTGATAGGAGCATGTGTTTACTATCTATTATTATAATGTACCCCCTCTATTTTCATTTTAATGAATTATTTACAGTTCGTTTGATGTGTATTATCAAACACTTATTAAATTACCACAGCAAGCACCACAAGTGCTTGACCATTTGAGGTACTGATTCCATTCCCCCAGTTCTAAATGAATACTGTCAAAGTTACACATAAAAATCTATTGAATGAGAAGATAAGTTACTCTAGCTAAAATTTATGTTGCTTAAATAATGCATATAAATTGGCTGACACTGTGAATTATATTGAGGTTAAATGGGAATTACTTTCTTTCTGTTGTCTTATTGTTTGTGGGGTTGCCTATAATTTTGTCACCTTGCCCATATACTGTACTAGATCAAACAGTAATTAAGAATGTCCTAAAGGCAGAACTGGAGACTCTGAAAACCCATTTCAGATATGACCAAATAACAATTATAATTACTCACAAGAGTTCACATGACTAAATATTGAGTGTCTTCCAAAAAAAAAATACACTTTTTTCACTTGCCAAATATAATCTTATACAGTATACTGAATAGCATGAGCACATTTTAAAACCATGGCTCATTTAGGCTAGACATACATCTACAAAGACTGGAGCAAACTCTTATGATATGAGTATTTAGAAATATAGACTTATTCTAAACAAGTAACTGATTTGAGTAACCCAAATTTTATTATAAAAATAATTTAGAAATACATTTATCAGTAATTTTAATAGTCTTTTGTACTTGTCTTTCAAAATTATATCATAAATGTTTAAACTATTAAAAAGAAGGAAGACAATATATTATTGTTTATGTATTCCTATACACACAATTTAAATGGTTTATCCACAAATAACTTAATTGAATGGGAAGCTCTTTCAGAATACCTCCTGGCTCTTGAAGTATTAAATACTATAAGATTTAAAAACTGCATATATTATTATGAAATGTGTGAATTTTAAACTTAATTGTTGTTTTTCAAAGCTGAGCTACCCTCAAGACCATATTTTTGCAAATATTAATCACTGAATTTAATAACATACAGAGGTAATATTCAGTTTGTTTCTTGCTCATTGTTTTCCAGATTGCACTGCTTATAGCAATACTAAAGCAAATTTGAACATGTAGTTCATTTGAAGTAAGGGTATTGTGTGCCTCAGGTGACAGAGAAAAAACTAAAATACTAGTCAATTGATTGAGCTCTCTTTGTGGCATTATTTGAAACAAAGTTATGCATGTTTTCATTATTTTACAATAAAATAATACAACCAAATGCTTAATACGGAAGTTGTTTAGCTGAAATATGAAATAAAGTTTTTTTTCCCTGTATATTTTATTATAAAAGAAAAATGGGAAAACAATTTTAAAGTATAGGTACAATATCAAGATGCAGAATACTTTGCACTTTAAAATTAGTTTTTAATGGTTGTCTTAATTTACATTTTTCAGTTGTTGTTGTTGTTGTTAATAATATTGATGCTGGAAAACAGAATTCTACTCTGAAGGGGAAAGTAATCATACAAGTATTCCAAATCCTCAAAGTTACTGCTGAACTCCACCTGTTTGATATAGAAGTTTGAGTAGGTAGCTGCGTAACCATGCATAGGCTGCAAAGAACAGGTAAAGGTTTATTCCATGCCGTAAGCTGTGGAGCCTTCTTCAGCTGTGAAGAAGGTGTGGGCATATTCTTCAATATAAACAGTAAAACATGAACCAGAGGATACATACAATGCAGAAACAATAGTGGAAGTAGATTTAAAGCTAAGAAAAGGGGACAGTTTCTTTACCCAAAGGGTTGTGAAAACATGGAAAAATCTACCAAAGCCAGTTGTTGTTGGAGCCGATAACTTGACTTCCTTCACAAAATAACTAGATGGAATCCTTGGAACAATGAGGACTGCAGTTTCAGACGAGATGACCCCTCTTGTCTAAGAACAGTGGGGAATGACTTCCGCCTTACTGCAGTTAGAAGAAGACAATTGGTCGGGTGATGATTGAAAAGACCAGGAAGCAGAGACTTCCAGTCATCTGAGCCCAATACTGGTTAGCAGTACAGAAGTATTTTAGATGAGTGATTGGAAAAACAGGTGGGAGACAAATTGCAGCTTGCCTCCTGGATCATGTACTTATTGTATTTCTAGTTGTTCCGTTTTTCAAGTTTAAAGTTTGAAGACGACAGGTTGGCTGACAATTTAAAAGTCCAGGAAACCAGGAGATGGAGGATTCGAGTCCTCAATCACTATCTGCCGGACTGTGGGTTATTGTCAGTTTGAGAAGATGCTTTGGAGAGAAACAATTGTCGTCTCAAGATTTTTTTAGAAAATGGTAAATAGTTTAGTTTTCCAGCTATTGATACACATGAATTTTGGAAGAAATCTGTTTAGCCGCTTAAAGGTTATGATTTGTGATTCTTGGAGATTTGTTTTATTGGCCTTGCACTGTAAAATATGCTTATTTTTTACCTTACAGCTGCCTCGGTGTGTCTGTTTTTCCTGGGACCAGCCTATTTAGATGATCCAGTTATGGCTCATCACCCCCTGCTGTGTCATACTACTCACTACCAAATAGGATAGATAGGCGAAATGGCCCCTTCTAATTTGTAACCATTCTTATGTTCTTACCACTCCAATAAACATTGTTTAAAACCATTCATCAACCATTCATTCAAACACCTTAGTCTGTCCAACCTCAGTATGACAAACAGCTCATTCAATCAAATCTAATGCCACAACCTCATCCTAGTAGGAAGAATTACTGTTTAGGTGTTGTTTCAAGAGACATTCTTATCATAGAAATGTTCAGCTATAACAGTTATTCAATAAAACATTTGTTTTTTTGTTAACCCTAGCAAATGTGCATGCAGTGTTCTACCATGCAGTTAATACTCTGTTTAGATTGGCGTTTTTGTTTTATAAAACTAGTGGAAATTGCCACTACTCATTCTGTAAGTCACATGTTATAAGCATACCGATTGCTTGTTCGCATGAATGGATATGTTTCAAAACAAATGTAAAAAAATACTATGACTTCTTTCAGAACATTTGAACTGTGCTAGGGGATTAGATTTATCTAAAGTAAGCATAGCATTCTAATTTCTACATTACCTAATTATTTGTTCTGCTATTTATCTGTGATATTCTTCTGTCTCGGAAATTCCAGTTGTCTGGTTAATTATAGGTATCATTATTTACATTGTCATTTTGATATCATTGGATTGATAAAATACTAGTAAGCATTCCCATGATTTTTATGTAAATGCAAAAACAGCAATAACAAAGAATTACACACACTTCTCTGTAAGTAGCTAGGGAAAATGCAAGCCAATAACACAAAAGACAAAATAAGTCCTAATATCCTGTTTCATTTTGCTTCATAAGTTTCATGAACCTAAAAATGTGCTGATTATTTATGTTTGAATTGGTAGACTAGGTTTATTAATATTTATATATATCATCTTGCTTTCATTTCATTCTCTGTCATTATATACAGTATTTTGAACTGTATTTACTATGCAGGAAGGCAGATAAATAGCCTATTTTCTCTCTTTAACTAAAAACCTTTTGTCTCACTATGTTCTCAATTTGGTCTATTTTCAGACAGATTATATAGTTTTTGATCTTATCTACAAAGGCTCGCCTGAGTTGTTTTTTTCTCCCAGAGTGTAACTCCAATCAATCAGTTGAAGGTGGCATGTTCTCCATCCCACAGCCAGTGAATGCCACATCAGCATGTGGTGCAATTGAGCGCGATGAAAAGAAATACACGAATACTCACACTAATGTACTGATTACTGATTAACTAGCCTCTGAACGCACCTGCCAGCATTATTTACTGTGAT